TGTAGTACATACTATATGTTGTACTACATATGTACACATAGTACTATGTAGTACATAGTACATAGTACATATGTACTATATGTACATATGTAGTATTTAGAATGTACTACATACTAGGGGTACATATGTATTACATATGCTACATATGGACATGCACATATGTACTATGTGCTATCTGCTATGTACTACATATGCTACATATGTATATGTACTATGTACATATATGTACATGTACATATGTATTATGTACTATGTACTACATATGTACTATGTATTATGTACTACATATGTAGTTTGTACTATGTACTACAAATGTAGTACTATGCACTACATAGTACTACTATATGTAGTACATAGTATGTACTATTACTATATGTATATATATGTACATGTACTAGTACGTATGTACTAGTAGTATAAGTACATGTACTACTAGTACTACATGTACTATTAGTACATATGTACTAGTGTACATGTATATATATGCACATGTACATGTAGTACATGTATGTATTATGTACATATGTAGTATGTACTACTAGTACTAGTAGTATAGTACACACTAGTATTAGTTTGTAGTACTATTACTAGTATTATTAGTATAGTACACACTACTATTAGTATGTAGTACTAGTACTAGTACTAATAGTATGTATTAGTATATACTACTAGTACTAAAGTTTTAGTACATACTCTTATTAGTATATACTACATACTAGTAGTAGTAGTATGTAGTACATTCTAAATACTATTATGCACATACTACTACTAGTAGTATGTACATACTAGTAGTATGTACTACTAGTACTAGTACTACTAGTATGTACTAGTAGGAGTAGTACTACTACTAATAGTAGTACTCGTAGAATGTTGTATTTACTAGTAGTAGTATATACATACGGGTAGTAGTAATACTACGAGTAGTATGTACTAGTACTACTGGTAGTAATACACACTAGTATGTACTAGTAGTACTAATACTACTAGTACATATGTACTACTAGTAGTACTAGTATGTACTAATATGTACTACTAGTACTGCTACTAGTCCTACATACTAGTACGTAGTAGTACTACTAGTAGTTCTAATACATATGTAGCATGTAGTACTAGTACATATGTAGTATGTACTAGTACTAGTAGTAGTACATGCTACTAGTACTGCTACTACTAGTACATATGTACTAGTAGTATTACATTCTAGTATGTAGTACTAATACATATAGTACTACATAGTATATACTAGTTGTGATATTTACATAGTACTAGTACCAATGTAGTAGTACAAGTAGTACATTTGTAGTACTACTACATATGTACATGTACTACATATGTAGTGGTACATATTACATAGTACATCTGTACATGTACTACTAGTAGTACATATTACATAGTACTATTAGTACTAGTATAGATATGTACTAGTACATATGTGCATGTACTACTAGTAGTACATAATACATAGTACATATGTACTACTAATACATATGTACTACTAGTACATATGTATATGTTTTCATGTATACTATGTACTAGTACATATACTACTAGTATATATGTACACATATGTACTAGTAGTACATACTACATATGTACTAGTATGTACTAGTAGTACATGTACTAAGACATAGCACACATGTGCTAGTAGTACATACTAGTGTACATATGTATTCTAGTACTACTAGTATGTACTACTACTGCTACTAGTATGTACTACTACTAGTATTACTAGTATGTACTACTACTACTTCTACTAGTACTACTAATATGTACTACTACTACTGCTACTAAGATGTACTACTACTAGTATGTACTACTACTACTGCTACTAGTATGTATTACTACTAGTACTACTAGTATGTGCTACTACTCTTACTACTAGTACTACTAGTACTACTAGTACTAGTAGTATATACTACTCGTAGTAGTACTACTAGTAGTATGTACATACAACGTACTACTAATAATATGTACTAGTAGTACTAGTAGTATGTACATACAACGTACTACTAGTGGTATGTACTAGTATTACTAGAAGTATGTACAAACAACATACTACTA